TGAATAGAGATAATTTAAGGATTATAGATTTCCCTCAAAAGCATAAGAGGTCAAAAGACTTAAATATCACAATGCAAGTAATAATACATGAAAACTGCCCAGAACTCCTATAAATAGAAAACAAAGTGAAAAACAAAAGATTACCTCTAGAAAAAGAAAAACCTAAGGCTGCAAACTCCAAGACACATAGTGGTTAAATTTAATAATCCCATTGAGAAATAACAAATTTCTGTAAGTGAACTGGAGAAAGCTCTTCAAATACAAAGGAAAAGAAATTTGATTATTCTGCACCTACCAGAAAATGCATAAAGGAATGGAAAATTGTGTTCCAAAGAGCAATGGAGCTCAAAATGTAGCCCAAAGTGAGCAAATCTGACTTAACCATAAAAGGAAAAAAAAAGATCAATATTTAATAATAAAGAGGTATGCAAAGCATTCTTAGAAAGAAAACCAGATCTAAAGAGGTTATTTTTTAAACACTCCAAACAATAGAAATGCAGGAAGAGTGAATGAATGTAACAGCCAAGGGCAGCAATAGCAATAGAGGGACAGCAGAGTGACCAGTAAGACACCTCTTTCTAAATGTATGCAAGGGGACAAGAACTCAGAAATCAGGTGGTTATGATGGTGGAGAGGAGGCGATGTTGAAGAGACAGGTATTGGGCATTATGAAATGAACCTCATGGCACCCCACCTACAGGTAAATCAATGTTTTTTGCGGAATGAAATTACAAAATGGGAGGGTGCATGCAAGGGAGGGAGATGAGAAGGAGGATAGAGAGGAGTGTGTCATGTATCCTGGTCAAGTTGAGCACTAGCAATGAGGGGAAAATGACTCTTGTTGTTTCTCAGAAAGAGGAGAGTCTGCAGGGGAGTGGTGAGTGTTGCAGTTTGGGGTGCTGGGAGCCCTGAAATGCAAGGATACGGGGCAGGTCTGCCTCAAAAGAATTTAACCACTCAAGCCTTCTTTCAGTCAGAGTAGTGAGGTTTTATTATGACACTAGTTAGGTGGACAAGATTTCTAGTAAATCTGTGAATTGATGAGCATGGGACTGATACTTTTATACAGAAAAAGACTGTGGGAAGATCTGGATGGGATTAAGGAGTGGCAAGTAGCCTGGGGTGGGCCAGGTGCAGGCAATGAAAAAAATTAAGTGGTAGGGCCACAATGAAAGGACAGTTAAAAGGATTATTGGGTATCTAGGTAGACTGGGATGACCAGATGCCTCAGGCTATGCCAGGGACTGGATTTAGGGACTGGGTTGTGTGGGAAAGTTCAGATCTTTTCCTTTTAAGGGTCTAGGTTCCATCCCATAACCCCATCAGTGAGGAGGTGGGAAGAGGAACTGAAAAAGAGGAGAAAGGGAGAGGCCTTATTTTTGTGTTAGGCAGAAGTGCCACAGATGAGTACTCTTATGGATGAAGAGATGTTCTGTGAAGGGAGATAGAGACCTTGCATTGAATGTTATCTGTGAGAATTTGATGCTTTAAAAGACTACTTATCTGTCTTAGGAAGTGGGGAGTGGGGATCAGAGCTCCTGGGACAATAGAAGCCTGTGGGAGCTGGGAGGGTATGGACTCAGGGAGGACATTTTAAAATAAACGGGGAAGAAAAGTGACCAGGGGAAGGTATAGGTCAGTGGTGGGCTGCATAATCAGGGTCATTTGGTGTGGGGGGAAGGTCCTGCCATGGACAGCATCCTCTCTATAACCTGCAGGAATTGGCATTTTTTCTGAGAGTGAGACACAGTGGAAAAGGGGTGAGGTGGGGTGAGCTCTACAAGGAATCAGCAGAAACTTCTTAGATGTGAGAGCCTAGAATGGGTACCTTGGAAGTTTTAATTCCGTAATGAATACAGAGAGTAGAAAAGAACTAGATAAGTATAGGGACTATGAAACAGAGAATGAGGGTCTAGATTAGACATAAAGGGAGGCTGCATAGTGAAGAGAGTGAGAGAAAGAAATCCTCTATGGGAAGGGGAGAAAAAAATGAAATAATAATAATAATAATATAACTAATGACCAGGACTAGTTGAAGGGAAGAAGATGAAACTGAGGAAAATAAAGAGAGGAAGAATTAAATGCCCAGATAAAAGCAGAGGTGGCAAAAAAGAAATAAGAAACAAAAAATCAAAGGGAAAGAGGCAACAGATTAAACTGTAGTAACTGAAGAGACATAGTACTATGTTTACAATGGAAGGGGGGGAAATCATAGTCTTAAAAAATAGTATTAGAGACAAATGGAGGAAAATATAAAACTAACTCATAACTTTAAATGTGAATGGATTAAACAAGCCAATGAAATGAAAAAGTGATAGATTGGATAAATTTTACAATCTTTTTAAAAAAATACATGCACAGAATAAAACTGAGGGAATGGGGGAAAATTACTATGCATCAAATTACTATGCAACTCCAAAGAAGGAGTTACAATCATGGTATCTGACAAAGCAAAAACAAACATCCAAAAATAAAAAGGAAAAAACAAGGAAACTCCATTATGCCGTAGGAACTGATGCAATTTGGGGCGCTGAAAACACTAAAAAGCAAGGGTACAGGACAGGGCTGCCTTGAAAGAACTCTACCACCCAAGCCTTTGTTCAGTCAGAGTAGTGAGTTTATTGTGATGCCAATAAAAGCAGGTGAGACTCTAAGAATCTGTGTGATTTAATAGGGGTAAGATTGGTACTTTTATACAGAAAAAGACTGTGGGAAGATCTAGATGGGATTAAAGAGTAGTAAGTAGCCTGGGGTGGGCCAGGTACAGATAAGGAAAGGAGTTAAGTGGTAGGGCCACAACGAAAGGACAGTTAAAAAGATTATTGAGTATCTGGGTAGACTGGGTTGGGCCTGATGCCTCGAGTTATGCCGGGTACTGGGTTGTGTGGGGAAGTTTCAGGGTCCAGGTCACACCACTCCATCAGAACCATAGACAGCAAGCCAATATCAGTAATAAACTTAAATACTCCAAAAGCTTTAGCATTCAAATTTATAAAGGAAAAATTAACTAATCTAGAGGACAACATAGATAATAACACAGTAAGGACAGGAGACATCAATATCCCTCTTTCAGTTTTGGATAAGAAAGATAAACAAAAGGGAAAATATGGCATTGAAAAAAATTGCTAGGGAAACTAGAGCTAAAAGACTTATGACATCTTCTAAATGTGACTGCAGAAGAATCTATGTATTTATCAGCACCACGTGCAACTTTTACAAAAATTAACTATGTATTAGGGAAAAGAGATATTGAAAACAAATATAAAAAGGTAGAAATGATAAATACATCTTTTAAAGAACATAATGCAATAAAAATAGCCATTGGTTCAGGGACCTCAGACAAAAGACATAAACACAAATAGACTTAATGATGAAATCCTATGTGTAGTTCAAGAATAAATCATAGAAAAAGATATGGAAAAATGATAATGATGAAAGAACATATCAAAATTTCTGGGATGCAGTAAAGCAGACCTTGGGAGAAATATCATATCCCTATAAACATAGATTAACAAAATGGAAAAAAGAAAGAATTAATGAACTGAATATGCATTAAAAGAAATAGAAAGCCAACAAATAGAAAAACCCATAATTATGAAATAGAAGATATTGGAGTAGAAATAGATAAACTGGAAACATAAAAAATCCATAGAAATGAGAAGTAAAACTGAAAGCTGGTTCTTTGAAAAGACTAATAAAATTAATTAACCTTTAAAGTTGATTTTTCTGATTAAAAAAAGGGGCTAGAAAATTAAATCAATGAAATAGCAAATAACAAAGTAAAGTCAGAAGAAATTAAAAAAAAAACAGAACCTATCATATACAGTAATATCCTAAAACAAGAAATAGAGGAACTCAAAAATAAAATATCAAACTGTGAGAAGACCAGAGAGGAGATTAAGAGATTGGGTTATTTAAGATCTCTCCTTCCTAAAAGGAAATAGAACTACCTATAAAGGAACTTCCAAAGAAAAAAGCTCTTGGTCCTCAAGTATTCACAAAAGAATTCTATCAAACTTTTAAATTTGTATTCATACTACACAAATTATTCTCAAAAATTAAGAAAGAAAGAATTCTGTATTTTTATTAAAACAAAGACATATTTTATTAGACAAATATAGCCCTAATACTTAAACCAAGGAAAGATAAAGATCAGAAGAAAAATTACAGGCAATATCCTTAATATTAATTCAAAATTTTTCTTTAATTCAAAATTTTTATTTGTTTGTTTGTTGGTGAGACAATGGGGTGAAGCGACTTGCTCAGGGTCACACAGCTAGTAAGTGTCAAGTGTCTGAGGCCAGATTTTAACTCATGTCTTCCTGAATCCAGGACTAGTGCTCTATCCACTGTGCCATTTAGCTGTCCCTTTAATTCAAAATTTTAATCAAAATCCTGTCAAATAGACTACAGAGATTTATCCAAGAAATCATTCATTATGACCAAGTTGAATTTATACCAGGGATACTGGGATGGTTCAACATTTGAAAAGCAATCCATATTAAGCAATTATATTACAAATCAAAACATCCCAAACCACATGATTGTCAAAGGCTTTGTCTGCATCCATTGAGAGAAAGTACAACACTAATTCATGCTAAAAACCCTACAAAGTATAGGTGTAGAGGAACTTTTTTTTAAAAAAAATATTTATTTATTTATTTATTTTTAGTTTTCAACATTCACTTCCATAGGATTTTGAATTCTAAATTTTCTCTCCTTCCCTCTCCTGCCCTCCCCAAGATGGCATGCAATCTGATACAGGCTGTACATATACATTCATATTAGACATATTTTCACATTTTTCATGTGGTAAAGAAGAGTTAGGACCAATGGGAGAAACCATAAAAAGGAAGAAACAAAAAAGAGAGCGAACGTGCAAATAGTATGCTTCGATCTGCATTCAGACTCCATAGCTCTTTCTCTGGATGTGGATAGCATTTTCCATCATGAGTCTTTTGGAGCTGTCTTAGATCCTTGCATTGCTGAGAAGAGTTAAGTCTATCAAAGTCAGTCATCGCACAAGGTTGCTATTACTGTGCACAACATTCTCCTGGTTCTGCTCACTTCACTCATCGAGGAATTTTCAAAAAATACCACAAAAAGCATTCAAGAGCTATTAGCATCATATGTAATGGGGATGCACTTGAATCTTTTCCTATAAATAAAGGTGTAAAGCCTGGATGCCCACTTTCCTGACAATTATTTGGCAGAGTTCTGAAAGTATATTTGTGTGTGCATGTATATGAGTGTGAGATTATATATGTATACATATACACATATATGTATACATAGATATACATATATGTAAAACTTTATAAAACTTTCACAATTTGCTAAAGATATGACAATATATTTGGAAAATTCTAGAGAATCAGTGAAGATACTTACTGAGACGATAGCTTTTATAAAGTTGCAAATTACAAAATAAACCCTCAAAAATCAACTACAATGTATATTATAACAAAATCTAAGAAGCAATAATAAAAAGGGAAATCTCATTCTAAATAACTAAAATATGCATCATCCTGGACAAGTCATTCCCTTCTCTCATCTGCACTGCCCCGCCCCCTCCCTTCCCCAGGCTGTAAGATAAAACAGTTACAACAATTGATCCATTCGACTTTCAACCCTAGGAGTCCAAAGCAACTAGTTCAGAGTCTTGTAGCTGTGTGATCCAGAGGCAGGACTAAATTCAGATAATTGGCCTCAAAGAGCAGTGATCTTTCTGTTTTCTCTTTTCTCCCTGACAACTGTTTCTAAAAACTTGAGCCTAAAGTAAAGTTCCCTTTATTCCTCTCCTGGGACACCCTCATCCATTGTCCATAGACTGCCCTGGCCCACGGCTTTTAGGTTGTCAACTGAGTCTCCATTTCCAGCAGGGTCTCATAAACCTCGGAAAGAGCCTGCAGTTTCTCTTTTAAATGCTGAGCTTTCTCTCTCAGTTCTTCTGCTGTTGGAGCCTTTGCCCCTTTGGACAAATGAACTGAATCTTGCACGATGGTGACTATGTCCATTAGAACAAAAACGCCTGTAAGCGCCGCACCCCTTATCCTGGCTCCTTTGGTCATGGCCAGTAGCGTGCCCTGAAAAGTCTTGCTCAAGCCTGGCTTGGCTTTGACCAGGCTGAAGGCACGGAAGTTTGGGACAATATTTTTGAAGATTTTACTCAACCTCCCCACTGCCGGAAGAATTCCATTTACGTTTTTACATAGAGCTTCCAAGATGTCACCTGTCCTTCCCTCAACATTGTCTAACTTCGCCCTCCCCTGTGAGGCGCTCACATTATCAATAATGCTTGCAGAAATACCAGTGGCAGTAGCTGCTGCTCCCAGCCCCATCCCAGTTAGAGAGAGGATCAAGCTCCCTCCTGCTGTTACAGGTACAAGAGCAAACCCGATTACGGTCAGGATGCCAGAGACAACACCAGTAGAGCCAGCTACAACACCGGCGATGGTGCAGTCCTTGTGAATCTTCTCGATTTTGTCTGCTGTGCAATAAAGGTCTTGGATGTGCTCTTCTAGCTGCAGTTTTGTCATGGGAAAGTCTGTCAAAAACATTTTCACATCATGCTGCATTTTTTCGTACGTCATATCTTCGTCAGGATGATCCATGCTTTCGTACTCTAGGTTCAGGATATCAGATGGTCAATCAGTATCACCCCTGTGAAGAGCAGAAGTCAAAAGATGATGGAGTTGCTTTAGAGATGGGAAACAACATTAACTTTTCTACAGCATTCTAACGTTGACCAAGTTCTTTTCTCCCCCTTCCCTGCCAAACTCCTAGAAAGAATATTCTCAGCTCACTGCCTGCACTTCCTCACCAACCGCCCACTCTTCAACCCTTTGGCATCTGGTTTCCAAATCTAGAATTTTATTGAAACAGCTGAGGTCATTGATGACCCTTGTACTGCCAAGCACTCTTTCATGTGTCCTTCTCGTCCTTCACCTCTGTAGCGTTTGATCCTGAGTGCCCATCCTTCTTGATTATCTTGGCTACATGTCCATGGTTCTCCCTCAGTGTCATGGAAAGAGCATGGAACCAGTATGCAAGAAATATAAGACTAAGAACCCTTCCTCAAAAGGTAAGTGATCAAAGGATAGGAATAAGAAGTTTGCAAAAGAAGAAATGTTCACCATCATAATTTTTTGAAAAAGAAAATTTAGAAATTAGAACTTAAAGAAAAGTACACGATCAACCATTTGAGAAAGGACTCCAAACCACTAATAGGAAGAAAAATACAAATTTAAACAATTCTGAGATTTTTTTCCCCCAAATCAATGAAATCGACAAAATATGATCAGAAGGACCAGAGCAAACTAATACATCATCCATATAGTATATATGATATACTTGTAATATTATATATAATATAATCTTAGTATTTAGTGCAGTGGTTGGTACATAGTTAAGTGCTGACCAAATGTTCTTCATTCATTAATTTATTCACAGGCAATTAATCCAGAAATGTAGATTTTAAAAATATTTTATTTCCTACAATTTCCCACAATAAGTTCCCACAATTACATGTGAAAACAACTTCTAATATTCATTTCTTTTTTAAGTTTTGAGTTCCAAATTCTATCCCTCCCTCCCCTTCCTGCTTCCAGAGATGGTAAACAATCTGATAGAGGTTATACACGTGCAATCGTGTAAAACACTTCCAAATGAGCATTTTGTGGAAGAAAACTCAGAGAGAGAGACTATAAGTATACTTCAGTCTGTATTCAGACAATATCAGCCTTTTCTCTGGAGGCGGGTAGCGTTTTTCAGCACGAGTCCTTTGGACTCGTCTTAGATCATTGTATCCATATTGCTCAGCACGATGCCTCACATGTTCATGGTGCTGTCCAGTCAGTTCAGTTGTGTCCAACTACTCATGACCCAATTTGGGGTTTTCATGGCAAGATACTGAAGTGGTTTGCCATTTCCTTCTCCAGCTCATTCTACAGATGAGGAAACTGAGGCAAGCAGGGTGAAATGACTTGCTCAGAGTCACACAGCTAGTAAGTGTCTGAGGCTGGATTTGAATTCAGGAAGATGAGTTCTCCTGCCTCCAGGCCCCACATTCTGTCCACTGCACCACCTACCTTCTGTATATCAAGTGCTTAATAAATATTGTATCTCTGTCTGTCTGTCTGTCTATCTATCTATCTTTCTACTTACCCATTTATCTACTTATCTACCAACTTATCCATGTATCTATTTATCTGTGTACTTATCTATGTATCTAGCTATCTATTTATCTATCTAGTCTATTTACTTATCTGTTTATGTATCTATGAGTCTACTTATCTATAGATCTATTTATGCACTTATCTGCCTACCCATCTATTCATCCATTGATCCATCTATCCATCTATCCGCCTATCTACCTACCTATATATATATATTTCTGTTTGACACTCCATACTCTTCCTAACCTAGCCCCTTCCTATTCTTCGGGTCTTCTTACACTTACCCGCTTCTATGTCACTCTTCGGTCCAGTGACACTAGCCTCCCGGCTATACCACAAAAAAAGATACTCCATCTCTTGGTGGCTGGAATTCTCTCCAGCTGTCCCCCACGCCTGGCATGCTCTTCCTCCTCATCTGTGCCTACTGGCTTCTTTGGCTTCAAGTCCCAGGACAAATCTCATCTTCTAAAGGAAGTCATTCCCAACCCCCCTTCCTTCTAATGCCCTCCCTCTTTTACTGATTTCCTATTTATCCTATATGTAGCTTCTTTGTACATGTTTAATTACCTGTTGTCTTCTCCATTAAATTGTGAGCTCCTTGAGGGCAGGGATTATGTGCCCCTTTCTGTATCCTCAGCCCTTTGCAGGGTGTCTAGCAAATAGTAGGGACCTTAATCAATGTTTATTGATTATGAATGGATCTACTTATCTATCTACATATCTATCTTCTTATCTCTAGAGCTATTTACTTATCTATCCACTTGTCTATGCATCTATCTACCATCGATATTCTTGCCTATCTACTAATCTATACCTCTATCTAGCCAGAAAAACTTTAATAAAACTTTTTTTAAAAGAAAAGGGATGAGACTGAATGTGTATTTTCTACTAGTTAATTGTCCTTGTAACCTCAATAAACTTCTCTGTGTAGCTGGAATCTGGGGAAAAAAATGAATTTAAATGTTTTCAAACCAAAACAAAAGGGGAAAAAAGCCACATAAATATTTGTAAAGTGTCTGCCACATGAATGGCACAGAAGACGGTGCTGGGAATGAAAAGATCTGTAAAATGAGGAACTTGGACAAGATGACCTCAAAGGTCCCCTCCACTTCTTTTTTTTTTCTGGGGGGGGGGGTGAGGCAATTGGGGTTAAGTGACTTGCCCAGGGCCACGTAGCTAGTGAGTATCAAGTGTCTGAGGCTGGATTTGAACTCTCCTCTACTTCTCTAACCTATCTTTCCCCTCTGGTTCTGGGTCACGAGCCATGGGGTTACCTCTCCAAAACATTCTTAGTCGCAAATCTCTCCCAAGCCTAGTCATCATATAATAGTTAATTCAATTCCTCTCTGCTTTGGGGGGCCCAGGGCTTCTCATTCACCCATTTCTGGACAGGAAGAAGGAAAACAAAGTTTAAGAAAACATTGTGTAAATACTTTTTGAATATATTGAAAATGTTCCACTGCAGTGAGAGGGTGGTGGTTGGCACTAGTAACCCTAAAGGTATGATTTTCTTTCAGGGAGCCTCAGGCTTGAGGATAGCACTGTAAGCCTAGAGGATTGTGTAAGATCCCCAAGGAGGAAAGGCATGGGGATCTCTGTAGAACCAAAGGTTTTCTCTCTCTCAGCCTCAAGGGTGTTGCCTTTCCAAGGCAGTCTCAGCTATGCGGTACTATGAGTCAATGGGTTGGGTGAAATAAAGGTTATCTAACTGATCTGATACACATTGTTAGCCTGAGTGCTTGCACAGGAGCAGAGTTCTACCCACAACTACAGATACCTAAATATAAGCTATATTCTGATGCTACCCAGAGGAGAAACTGAGTAGAAATTAAGTGCCCGGATAAGAGGCAACAAACAGACATATTGGGAAGGAGCCACTCAGTTTACCACACAGCTCTCTCCTGAAGGGCTCTCACCTGACTCCCTTGTTCCCTATCTTCTTAACGAACTCTCCACTTGTGGCCATTGTATAAGGGTCAGTTGAAGAAACATCAGCCCAGAGCTAGGACTCTTTCTGCTCTTCTCTGCTATCTACTGACCCTTTAAGAGTGGTGAAGAGGGGCAGCTAGGTGGCACAGTAGATAGAGATCTAGCCTTGGAGTCAGGAGGACCTGAGTTCAAATCCAGCCTCAGACACTTGAAACTTACTAGCTGTGTGACCCTGGGCAAGTCACTTAACCCCGATTACCTCACCAAAATAATAATAATAATAAAGAGTGTTGAAGAGACTCCTGCCCTTCTCAGGACCAGTGGCCTCGGCTGCTGGCTTCCTTTCCCTATGACTGTGGTAGAAAGATAGCTCAGACCTCAGGAGGCCATCCTCTTTGCCATCTGCTTCTCAGATCATACTCAAGTTCAATGTTTTTGGTCCTATCTGTGATTTCACAGGAGTAAAGAAACTCCCTCAACCAAAGCAGAGGTAGGTGAGTCTGATCTGAAACTGTCTTGGAGTGTCATCTGGGGCTCAGAAAGATAAATGACATACAAGGACAAACAGCCACTGTCAAAGGTCAGACTTGAACTCGGGTCTTCTCCTTGGAAAGCTAATCTAGCTTATTCAGTCAACATGCACCTTGTTTGTTCCGAGGACATCCTTGCCTGCTCCAATCAACTCCTGGTTTATCTGCCCGCCCCATGATGATCTAGGCCCTGATTCCTGTTGTCCCAATTTGATCTGGCACCTCCCTTCTCTTGACTGGGCTCCACATCCTACATAAACCAGCCCCCACCCACAGCTTCCCTCCCCCATTGAACTGCAGGGGGAAGGCACTCCTTTTCGTTTTTATCTCTGGCTCCTGCTCCCTGGTATGTGAAGTAGCAATTACTTAAAAATGTTTATGTGCAGAAAATCACTTGAGTCATCATGATGCAGTGAGAACGGCCCTGACTGACTTTCAAGACAGAGGCCCTGGGTTCCAGTTCTGCCCAAGATGCTCACCACCTTTGTGACATTGGGAAGGTCTCTCCGGGTCTCAGAGTCCTCTCCTGTAAAGGAGGAGCTGAACCAGACCAGGCCACGAATGGGGTTCACATAAAGCAAGGGGACATCGCTCCATGTGGGGCATCTTTGTGACCATCACTTGAACCCAGCCTAGAACCAAAGCAAGCCTTTCTCCACATGAGGTGAGCCTACTCCATGGAGGACCCACAGACTCAAGAAACTAGGTGGTTGAATAGATGGGGCACTTGACCTCGAGTCAAGAAGACATGAGTTCAAATCCTCCCTCAGGTACTTGCTATCTGTGTGACCTTGGGCAAGTCAGTTCTTCACTGTGTGCCTCAGTTTCCTCATCTGTAAAATAAAGGGGGTTGGTCTAAATGGTCTCTAAGGTCCCTCTAGCTCTAAAACAATGATGCCCTTTTTAAAAGCACACGCCATTTTCCAACTCCTGCTAGCAGAGCTCTTGGAGATTTGCAAAGCACTTCACTAACATCAACTCTGGTAGTATCATCTTATTATCTCCATTTGACAGACAAGGAAACTGAGGTTCAGGAAACTTTCCCAGGGTGACACACAGATGGTAAATGGCATAGACAGAATTCAAACCCAGGCCTCTTGACTCCAAATTCAGATTTTTTTTCCCCTCAATTGCCCTGAGAAGCTCCAAGAAACAAATGTCATCACTTTTATCTCCCCTTACATGTCCCCACTTCTACACTGATACAAACAAGACCCTAGGACAAGGCCTCACTCCCTCTTATCTTTGGTCCCCTGGGTTTGCGGTTGCAATAGTCCAGATAAGAGACACAACCACCTCCTACCAGAAAGCTGATGGACTTAAAACCCAAAATGAATCATGCATTTTTTGGATATGACCAGTGTGGAAATTCATTTTGCTGGTCTCTATGTCTTTGTTGTCAGGGTTTTCTTTCTGTAGTTTTTTTTTTTTAATGGTTTGCTGGAGAGAGATTGGGAAGGGAGAGATAATAAATGTTTGTAAAAATTAATTAATAGGATTAATTATAGGATTCCTACCACAGAATGATGAAAAACGCAGGCACCAAATGTTCATTAGGGATGATAAGAAAGGCCCTTGAAGCTTAACACTGGCTGGGACTAACCCCAGCCTTCCAGGGGTGCCCGCCATGGTTGCTGAACTTGTCAGGGCAAACAAGTGGACCCGAAGCCCAGAATTACACTTTGGGTTGATCGATAGTCTGGGAGAGCAAAGGAAGAACACCAGCTCCTGGGCCAACCCCAGGTAGAGGCTTCCAGAACCAGAGCAGGAAGGGACCTGGGTGGCTGCTCATCCCATGTACTTATTTCACAGAGGAGGAAAGTGAGCCCCAGAAGAGGGCGGTGAGTTACAGGTAAGATCCTGAAAGGGCCTTCAGGAACCGTCTAGTTCAATCCTTTCATTTTACAGATAAGGAAACCAAGGCTTGGGGAGGTTAACAGATTTGCTTAAGGTCTCCCAGGAGGGGCAGCTAGGTGGTGCAGTAGATAGAGCACCAGCCCCGAAGTCAGGAGGACCTGAGTTCAAATCTGGCCTCAGACCAAACACTTGACACCAGCTGTGTGACCCTGGGCAAGTCACTTAACCCTAATAACAAAAAAAAAAAAAAAGGTCTCTTGCAGGGAGCATCAGAGGCTGGACCCTGCACATTAGTACACCTCCTCTTTCTCTCCACTCTCTAAATTTAAGAAGTTTCTGAGAACAAGGAGAGTTTTCCTTAGCAAAGATATAGGTTGTCTGCTCAGACTGGCCCCTCACCCAGGTTAACCAACTCTCAGCATCTATAATCTTGTGGCCCCTGTTAACCCCAGAGAAGCTGGGGGCTTTAGAAATACCCCCCCCACACACACACACCGCAGAGCTCCTGTAGCTGAAGGCATCCTTGTCTTGACCTTAAGGAAGCTCCCCAGAGCAGCCCCACACTCCTTCGCCAGCTGCCTTCCTTCTTGCATGGGTGGCTCTGTTCTTGCCCTCAGCCCCTGAAGCCAGACTTTATCATCCCCCCAGGTCTTGGGGTCTGAGCTCCCAGGCACCAGCACAAAAGAATCCTCAATCGAGCACAGATGTTCTTACCTCTCCAGGTTCTATTCAGCCAGCCAGCAGGATGGAATGGACAAAAGTCTCTGAGGGAAGCTTCTGTCCTAAGGCATTTAAAAGCAAAAGTGAAACCAGAATATTTTAAAGGCTTATTTTTAACAGACTAAAGAGGAATCGCCACACCCATACTGAATGCCTCTCCTATAATTGTGCAAACGTTCAGGGACATAGTTTAGAGAGTCATGGAATGTCAGAGCCTGGGAGGAATTTAGAACTTGGAATGTCAGAGCAGGAAGGGAATTTAGAGTGGAGAAGGGCAGGTACCTAGTGGCAGTGATCCTATTCATCTCCTCATAGGCTTGCTTCGATATGCCTAAAGCGCTTTGTAAATTTGAAAGAGCTTTATAAAGGACATTTAATAGTAAATTACTGTCTGTATACCTATCTGTGGCCTGCTGTGTCCCTCAGTAGAATGTAAGCTGCATGAGCGCAAAGGTCTTTAACAGGTCTCAGTTTGACTGAGGCAGCGCCCATTCAGTGATTAAGTGTCAGCTAGAAAACAGGCAGAGAATGGCCTCTTTAAAAAAAGGGGGAGGGCAGTGCAGTGGATAGAGCACCAACCCTGGAGTAAGGAGGACCTGAGTTCAAATTCGACCTCAGACATATAACACTAGCTGTGTGACTCTGGGCAAGTCACTTAACCCCAATATCAAAAAATTAAATTAATTAATTAAAATAAAAAAAATAGATCTGGGGGGAAGGCCCTCAGGGTTTCTGAACAAAACCAGAGAGCAGGTAGCCCAGGGGCTAGAGATCAATGCTAATGAAAGGGAGCAGAGGGAGACAACTAGGGGTGAGGATGGGAGTGCCCAAAAGGAGTCCAAGCCTTGAACTTGGTGGGTAAAAGAAAGCCAGGACAAGGTTGAAAGTAGGGTTTCCCAAAAACCACCCACTGACCCAGAGCGTTGGCCAGCCAAACCGGTATTGAAACTGAAACTCTGAGACTACATACCCAATGTGGGCGGGGCCTGGTGGATACCATTTCTTCTGGTCACTTCCTTCCAGGTTGTTTGTCCTGGTTTTGTTCTGTTTCCTTTCAATCCCTGGGATGGTTTTTTCTGGCAGAGGGTCCAAAGTTGGGTCCTTCACCCTCCCTGTTCAGGGGTCACCTCCTATAGGATACCTGGGTGTTTTTAATGCTGTTTCCCTCACTCCCTTCTCTAATTATTTTTGATGTCTGTCCCTGGGTACAGGTTCTAGGCCTCCCTGTTCCCTCCACCACACACCAAAAATGGAAACAAAGGTTTCTCAAAGGTAGGGGCTGCTCTGTTCCTTGTGTGGCCACTCAAGTACAGTTCCTTGTACACAGTAAATGATTAATAAATGATTCCTGAGTCGAATGGAATTCTCCGTCCCAGGCATGAGGGTTAGCCTTGAAGGAGGCTGAGAGTTTGGAAAGGCCTGGTGGAGATGAACGAAGACCAAATGGTTCCCCAGTGCACACACAAGCACAACTGTTAACAACCGAGCCACCTCCGAGCTAATATAATCAAAATGACAATTTGACCTAAGCTAATTTACTTATTCAGTGCCATCCCAATCAAACTAGCAAAAAATTATTTTATAGAGCTAGAAGAAAAATAACAAAATTCATCTGGAAGAACAAAAGGTCCAGAATATCAAGGGAACTAATGAAAAGAAATGCAGGGGAAGGTGGCCTAGCCTTTCCAGATCTTAAATTGTATTATAAAGCAGCAATCATCAAAACTGCTTGGTACTGGCTAAGAAATAGAGTGGTGGATCAGTGGAATAGGTTAAGTATGCAAGACACAGTAGTCAATGACTATAGTAATCTACTATTTGATAAACCCAAAGACCCCAGCTTCTGGGATAAGAACCCACTCTTTGACAAAAACTGCTGGGAAAACTGGAAAAGAGTATGGCAGAAACTAGGCATAGACCAAAATCTCACACCATATACCAAAATAAAGTCAAAATGGGTTCATGATTTAGATATAAAGGCTGATGCTGTAAGCAAACTGGGAATCAAGGAATAGTTTACCTATCAGATTTATGGAGAAGGGAAGAATTTATGACCAAACAGGAGATAGAGGACATTATGAAATGCAAATTGGATAATTTTGATGACATTAAATTGAAATGTTTTTGCACAAATGAAGCCAATGCAACTAAGATTAGGAGGGAAGCAGAAAACTGGGAAAGAATTTTTACATCCAGTGTCTCTGATAAAGGCCCCATTTCTAAACTATATAGAAAACTGAGTCAAATTTATAAGGATACAAGTCATTCCCCAATTGATAAATGGTCAAAGAATATGAACAGGCAGTTTTTAGAGGAAGAAATTAAAGCTATCTATAGTCATATGAAAAAATGCTCTAAATCACTATTGATTAGAGAAATGCAAATTAAAACAACTCTGAGGTACCACCTCACACCTGTTAGATTGGCTAACATGACAAAATAGGAAAATGATAAATGTTGGAGAAGATGTGGGAAAATTGGAACACTAATGCATTGGTGGTGGAGTTGTGAATCGATCCAACCATTCTGGAGAACAATTTGGAACTATACCCAAAGGGCTACAAAACTGTGTAGCACTTCTAGGTCTGTATCTCAAAGAGATCGTACAAAAGGGAAAAGGACCCACATATACAGAAATATTTATAACAGCTCTTTTTATGGTGGCAAAGAATTGGAAATTGAGGGAATGCCCATCAGTTGAGGAATGGCTGAACAAATTGTGGTATATGAATGTAATGGAATACTATTGTGCTATAAGAAATGATGAGCAGGTAGACTTCAGAAAAACCTGGAAAGACTTGTATGGTCTGATGCTGAGTGAAGTGAGCAGAACCAGAAGGTTGTACACAATAACAGCCACATTGTGCGGTGACTAATTTTGGTAACTTAGCTCTTCTCAGCAATGCAAGGATGTAAGACAACTCCAAAATACTCATGATGGAAAATGCTATCCACATCCAGAGAAAGAACTTTGGAGTCTGAATGCAGATGGAAGCTGACAATTTGCTCTCTCTTTTTTGTTTGTTTGTTTCTTCTTTCCTGTGGTTTCTCCCCTTGGTTCTCATTCTTCTTATAACTAATGTGAAAATAGGTTTAATATGAATGTATATGTTGAGCCTATATCAAATTGCACGCTGTCTTGGGGTGGGGGGGATGAGAGGGATGGGGAGAAAATTTGGAACTCATAATCTTACGGAAGTGAATGTTGAAAACTAAAAATAAATAAATAAATTTATTATTAAAAGACAAAACAAAACAAAACAAACAAAAAAAACAAAGACAACTGAGCCACCTGAAAGAAATATGGTGGTCCTAGCTCTAGTCAGATTATCTGATTTCAAATCTTGCTTCCAACACTTACTAGTTGTGGGACCCTGGGCAAGTCACTTAAAGGTCTTTGTGCTCAAGATTCTTTAACTGTCAAACGACAGGGTTGAAGTAGGTGACCTCTGCGGCCCTTTCCAGCTTAAGTCTATGATGCTAAGCCTTCTTGGGACTCAATTTCTTCATATGTAAGATGCTGTTGGGGGCAGCTAGGTGGCACCGTGGATAGAGCACCAGCCCTGGATTCAGGAGGACCTGAGTTCAAATCTGTCCTCAGATACATAACACTTACTAGCTGTGTGACCCTGGGCAAGTCACTTAACCCCATTGCCTAGCCAAAAAAAAAAGAAAAGTGCTGTTATCCATGGCCTCTGAGGTCCCTTCTGCCTCTAGACCTCTATGATCCTGAAGGTTCACTATTACCCGAAGCTGCAGCCCTCCTCACCTCACCCTAGAACTTTCCATTCTTGATTTGCTTCTGTGTGGTACAGTGACTCTAACACAATCAAATTCAGAGACTTCTCAAGGTGGAAGCAAAAGTTACTTTTTATCACAATCTCCCCAGAAGGGGCATCTGCTCTTCCAGTGCACTACCAGCAGGAGAGAGGCGAGGCACGAAGGACAAAGCAAAGTTATATGTCCTAACGCAAACAAGAAACTACCATCCCGCCACTGTCCCTCAATCCCATTGGCTGGGAGGTGGGCTTACATTCTAGGCGCGAAAATCTTCCCCAGGAGACAAAGAGCAAGGAAAAGGGTATAGCCAGTCAAAATGTGTATGTCCTTACTTGGCCAGCTCAGTGCTGATGTGATAGTGGCATGGTGATCAAGGGGAGGGCCGGATTCCACAGGTTGAATAATTTCCAGGAAACCGAAACTTAGGCCTGTTGTTTTTTTTTGTTTTTGGAGCCTGCCTCCAGTTTCCAGACAGTCTCTTTATCACCACCCTGAGAAGTCTTCACAAAGGCTACACCCCACTCACTTCCCAACACATTGGCCAGGAAGAAGCACCCCAGGGAATACATGGAAAAGAATGACTTAGAGAGTGTTAGAGATTTCCAAAGGAAGGCCTGCTTTTCCCAAACTGAAGGGAGGGTACTTTGTCTAGAGACCTTAGATCATTTTTAAAAATAAAAACTTATTTTCTTTAATTAACAATTAACATCCCTCACCACTGAGAAAAAAAAGAAAAAGAAAACTCTTGTAAAAAAAAAATGCCAGTCAAGCAAAATGAATGCCCCATATTGGCCTTATCCAACCAAGTGGGTCTCAATTTGCATCCTCAGTCCATTCTCTCTTGGTCAAGAGGTGGGGAGCAAGCTTCCTCATCAGTCGTCAGAAATCATGGTTGGTCAGTACATTAATCAGAGCTATTAACTCTTTGAAAAATATTAATTTTTATCAATCAATCAATATTTATTAAGCACCTACTATGTGTCAGGCAGTGTGCTAAGCTATGGGGAAATAAAAAGAGGTAAAAGACAGTCCCTGGCCTCAAAGCACTTACAATTCAATGAGGAAAAGAATGTGCAAACAAATATATACAAAGTAAGCTATAGACAGGATGAGTAAGAAATAACAGAAGAAAGGCACCAGAATAAAGAGGGGTTAGGAAAGGTTCCAGTACAAGAGGGATTTTTATAGTGTTGTTGTTATTATAGCATAAATTGTTCTCCTGCTTCTGTTCACTCTGCGTCTGTCCATACAAGTCTTCCCAGGTTTCTCATTTCATTATGTTTATCTACCATAGCTTGTTCAGCCATTTCCCAACAGGTGGGTGCTTCCCTAGTACTTCTGCCCAAAAGGACTTCCTCATACTCGAGGTGTCTACCGCATCCTGCTGTATCCTTCTCAGATGAGAACATTTCACATCATGTAAATGTCTTGTGCTTATCATCCCTTACTGGGCAGAGCCTTCCCCTGAGGGAAGGCTGTAGAGGGCCAGGAGGGATCTCTTCCGGCTTCCCCCAAAGCAATGACTTCCATCTGTGTCCCTACAAAGTAACTTCTTTTTTTTTAAATCATTTTAAACTTAAATAAACAATAAGAAAAGAAAAAAACATATAAACTTAAATATAAAATAAGAAAAGAAAAATACATTATAAACTTAAATACAAAATAAGAAAAGAAAAAACATTATAAACCTAAGTATTAAAACTTAAATACAAAATAAGAAAAGAAAAAGAAACATATTGTGAACTGAAATATTAAAACTTAAATACAAAATAAGAAACAAAAAAAAATAAAGTATTGCCATGTGCACAGCAGAACGTAAAAGAGGATTCAAAATATATGGTAATAAATTTCCATTTCAAGAAAGCCTACATGATAAATATTACCCATTGTGTTAGGAGCTGTCCATCTTTTCTTTGCTTCCTTGTAAGTTTTCTTTTGTTCTCTGCTGTGCACTTTTTATTTTGTTCTTTTTTCCTCCTTCCTACTCCCCCTCCCCCAAGAAGGTACAATTAAGTGTAGATTATATAGATCTAGATACACACCTATATTTACACACACATACATGTGCATATGGACATGCAAACATACACACATACACACAGAGATATATATGCATATAGACATAAATGTGTATACTTACATACATATACATATACTTAGATATCTACAGTCATACGCATATATAGACATATACATTCATATGCGTCTATGTAAGACCATACTACACTTATTTGTCCTTTGTCTCTCTGAGGGTGGATAACTTCTTCCTTCATAAGTCCGAGTTTTTCCATATTTTTCTAAGCCCACCAACTCGTCATTTCCTGCACCACAGGAATTTTCCAACCTTATACTGTCTACTTATTTTAAATAGTCTAAAACAACGTTGATTAATATGGCTGACACATTGTGTAGTTTCCCTGTTTTTCTCTTATGATTAAATCTATTTTAGCTTTCACTTTATCTGAGATCATGATTACTACC